GACTCCCACTTGGCCGGTTTTTTATGTTAATTCATCTATTTCTTACAGAAAATTTAATTACTACTTCAGAGGGCTTATTTGTCTATTTCTAATAATGTTAGTGTCACAGAAAATGTAATCTGTTTATATATATACAAGAGACTGTCCGAGTGACTCATATTCAATGCAGAGCCGCAACCTATTACAACACCTATCTGCGTTGATGTAGGTTGTACTGGTTGTAGAATGTAGATATCTAAAATCGAAATCGAAATTTGATCAAATAGTTTCTAAATTATTCAAATATAATAATGTATCATGGATGATCGTCCTTAATAATGATTTTACGTCAAATATAAATATATATAAAAATCGCTAAAAATAATAATTATACAATGCAATGGCCTCATAAAACGGGCACAAGAAAACAATATAAATTCGTAGGTACAAAAATCCTAAACTTAATACCAAAACACTTCCATGCATTAACTCTGCTTAGGTTTAAGATAGACTTTAAGAAATGGCTTCTTTATGAATTCAACAATAACCTATTATTATAATTAATAACATACCTTTTTTTAACTATTTGTTAAATTTATATTATTTATCAATTTTTCTATGTTCTATTTTTTTGTTTTTATACTCTAATTATAAGAAATCTACTACAGGTTTATATATCATGATTTTTTTTTATTTACGTTTAATTTGTAATGATTCACTAAGATAGTAGACACATATTTTTACTTAATATTATATAATTAATAATTTTAAACAATACAACATGTAACTTATACACTAGAAATTAATTAAACTCATGTACACATAATAACTCCTGGGCCTCCACACGAGAATACTCAGTGAGGCCCAGTATTCTTATCTTGAGAAATAAATTAATAATAATAATAATAATAATAATAATATAAAGTATACCTGCACCTATTATTATAGTAGTAGTGTAGTGCTTTTATACTGGTCATAATTTTTATAAATCTTTTATTTTTTTTTCCTAGGGTTACGGCGTTCACCAGTTTTGTCTCTCGGGTATTGCCATCCAGTCCTACGGTTGACATAATATAACATATTTTAACACATTATGTGATATTATTTTCGACTGCGGCCATCCAAATCCGTGGGCGTGCCGGTCTATTATCGTGGACCGTGGATTGGGGTGCGCGAGGGGGTGATATATACATAGTTGTATTATTTTGTAAGACCACAACGACCTCCGCCGTCGCGCTGCGCTTTTTCATATATAATAATAATATAAAACCATATAATTAATACACATCGTCACCCCGTCGTCTGCGGTGGCGTATAGTTGCAACGACGACGACGACGACGACGACGTAAATGAAGTCAGCGCGGCCGTAAATTTAATAAATGCGATCTGGGACGTCGGTGGCGACGATGGCGATGAGGTATTAGTAGCGCCACGAGGCCCACCCGGAAGCCGACGCCGACGCCACGCGATACCCATAAACGTCGCGACCTAACGCCCTTACTGGGTGGTGTGTGCGTGCGCGATTTCGGCCTGTCGCGCGTGCGAATCAATCGCACATAATATTAAGCCACCGCACACGACACGGTGACGGGTCGTGGTCGTCATTTTATGGTTTATATATGCGTGTATGATAATAGTTGCAAACTGGAGGAACCGTTTCTGTCGGATCCCTATATTATTCCTCTTTATAATTCGTGTGTTAAATATAAAATGCATCATTAATATTATATGCCACCACGAAATCGATATGATGATATAATTATTACCGGGTGATATTATGCGTATTATATCCGGGTGGTTTAGTGCAGGCGGTCGTGGCTATGCAAGTCGAGTCCCCCCCCCCCAACTTATTTCGCCTCCACTTTTTTCATTCATATATTTCATCCCCCATAATCTCAGAACCATTTTACGGTTTATTTAAGAACGCCATCCTCTGCATATTAAATATCCACAATTTTATTATGTAGTCAAGACGTCTTGTATAATGTATACGTTTTAATCATGCTTGTTACCTTCAAAATGTTATCTAATGTTTTATACTCAAAAAATGAGTGTATAAAGAGGTGTATCGTATTGAAAATCTAGTTTTATAAAATTAGGTAGGTAGATAACATATAAATATAGCTATAAAGATTAAAGGTAATACCTACCTATGAAGTCTTACATAGTGTAATGGTATGAATACATTATTTTAGATACTCAAATACCAAAACTATCACTTATAAGCAGGACCGGCTCAAGCGAAAATAGTGAACTAGGCGAAATCAAATTTTGCCGCCCCTGATAATATAATATTATCAGTATTTTGAAAATGCCGCCCTCTTACTAAAGTGCTGCTTATGTTACGCCCTAGGCGTGGGCCTATGTCGCCTACCCCTTGAGCCGGGCCTGCTTATAAGCTTAATAGTACCTATTCTATTTTAACTTTCACCACAACATGTATATTGACTATTCTACATTAATAGTCACTACGTATCAATAGTACCATTAATTTCCAATAAACAACTTAATATGTGATCTGATTCTTTTATCCAACATTCAGTGTTCTTATGGGACAAATGTCTATTTAATTTTCCTTAAAAAGAGTAGCTATATGGTAGTTTTTCCAATAATAATACCAAAAGAGGTAAAGTATTAATGCGCAGGTCATTCTTTTCTAGTTGACCTATTTTTGTAGTTCTGGTACATTTCTACTTTTTCCTCTTTATTTTTCTAATTTTTTTTTATTATACCACACATCAAAACAAGGTTTTTGAAACATTGAACAAGTACAATAACTCAACAGTCTCAGCGTGTTTAATTAGTTCAAATTTTTAATTCGTAGAGTTATCCACGTAGTTTTGTTAAATGATACTTAACACAAATTAATATATTATTCCAAAAGGGTAACGACAACCAAAAATAGTTTTTGTAAGTAGTAAATAGTTTTATAATATACTTGCCTATGAAAAATATTCAAAATCATTAGTTATGTACATGTAAAAATAATTTTATTTTTTCCACCTAATATCATTGACTGCAAAATTATAAGAAATCGTTGCTTGAACCCCGCAATATTTTATGTTTTTGGTAATCTTATTAAATACGACATCGATTGTGCGCTAAGTGTTAACGCTGTCGTATTCGTCCATAAGTAATTTTCCCCATGTACGGGTCCCGGTAATTTTTATATAGAGCTTTTGACGTAGTTAATGTGGTGTATGAACGAAAGCTATACAGACCTATATTATTATAACGTCACGTAAATCGCAATCAATACATATAGGCTAGGTTAGGTTTATGTTCGTAATTTTAAAAAACCCAAAGTAGTACTATAGGGTGAATTTCACAGACCAATGTTGCAGTGTAAATCCGTGGATATTATTATTTACGTTGTATAATATATATATTATATGCAAACGATCGAGCCGGATGTTATATAGTCATATTGGAGAGGGCACAAAGAGGGCAGGACTAAAGCGATTTTTTTAATATGACGTAAATAAAAAATACATTCGTATTTTTTTCATAAAAAAAATAACAAAACAAAACAATAATTCGGGCAAAATGCATTTAGTGTGCGGTGGTTAGCGGGAGGGAGTGTATTCACCAGCCTCTGCCCTCTGGTGACAGCATGCGCGTTAGTTGTGCTGGCCGAAGTCCATATATAGGCTGTACATCGATTTGTGCCAAACCGTAGCAAGGGTTTGCCCTATGATCGGACGTACAGCGTGCAATAATAATATAATAATACCTATATATTATGATATTATCATCATTATGATAAAATATGGTAAGACTGGTACAGTCAGATCATGAATGAACCACAATTTGGTTTGGAACGGACCTAAGACCTTATGCAGTAAGTTTTCGGGTCTGTTCGGAAAGTATAGATATACCTACGCGCTACGCCTGTGTTGAACTTTGAAAAAAATCTAATCCCTAAGCTACAGATACCTATTCGATCGTTAGTTTTTCTCGGCTTTAAAATATTAAAATATATAAAATTTAGATTCACATATTAACAAGTATACTACAGTAAAATGTATGCTTTTGAATCTCCTTTTTTTATATTGTTTTATACTTTGATATTAGTTTTTTAAAACTTAATGTGAAAATAAATTCAGAAAATCATTCATTTTAAATATTTATTATTTTCCGTTCGACAATATTTTCTTCTACCTATAGTTAAAATAATTAAAATTAACTATGATTTCAGTTTCATTGTCATTAATCATTATTATATACCTACTATTATAGATAATACATATAGACTTTAACTTATAAGAAATTGAAAAAATAACATATATAAAATCAACTATTTTTTCTATAACTTACAAGTTACAACTTTATTTTTTTTTAGCAAAATATTTGAGTACCGTAACTGTTTTATTCAAGAGTAATAAACACGTTTGAGTTATCAACACTACATTTAAAATCATCTATAATATAGTGTAAGGTACCTATAGTTTATTAATGTCAGATACAATAGATTTGCTAAATTAATCAACCATCAATAATTAAACATCATCACTTTGAAATTCCGTTTAATTTACGTAATCTGAACGGCCCTGATTTCAGATATTTTAGATATTTCAGGGATTTTATTATACATTTTTATTTTTAAACTATTATTGTTATTATTATTATTATTCATTGTAAACCTTAGTTATGTAATAAAATTTCTTAATATTTTTTTTAATTGATACTTATTTACATAAATAGGTAAGTACTATATTATACATAATTATTATTTAGTATGTACCAATTTGATGTAGTAGGTAAAGTATAGTTTCAAGAAATACGTTATTTTTTTAAAAATTATTATTTATCAATTAAAATACATAAATACTATAGGTACCTACTCCGGTAACCGATATTTGGTTTTTTGTAAAAAAAAAAATACCCAAGTCGTTGTAAATTACCTTTTTTTAAAAAAAAAAAAAATCAGCAATACACTCACCACCCGGGAACGCCGTTAAGCAATGCTTCAGGTGGGTTATAAATTACCTAAGAATATGATTTTTTATTTTCTACTCACTTGTCGTAATCCTGACGGCAGTATAGTTTTGCGTTCCACACAAAACATGACCGATCTAGCTTCAAGGCACATGTCGTGCATTTAAGGCACCGTTCGTGGTAAGATCGACCGGATACACGCATAATATACCTATCTGCAATTGTGCACTCACATTTAGCACACAAGGTAGACACTCCCACCGGTTCTGACGGATCGTCTCCATAAATTGGTTCCATTTTCATTTTGACTACGCCTAAAGCTGTCTTCATCTCGATTCCTTTGAAAAACGTACAAAAACACTAATATATAAATACACAACACTAATAACTAATTGAATATGTTCAGTTAAGGAAATTTACCACAACTGAGTAAAGGTACCTAAGTACCTAACTATAAGTAAGTTTAGGTACCTAAATTATATTTAATCATATATGAATGAATAGAATATTATATTCGTTAACAAATTTAATTTTTGTAATTGAAAAATGTTCAGGAGTAATAACTACTTACTGAGTAATATGTCAATTGTTAACGTTGTAAAATAAAAAGAACAATATACTAGTACTATAGCTGTATTTTCAACTAAAATAAAAAACCATGACTTTTAACTTAACATAAAGAAGTTCTCGTAACTCAACTTGTAAATCATGTTGTACCTAACTACAAATGCACTTTAAATATATACAAATTTAAGTTATTATGCAAAAGTATTATTTTCTATAATTTTAAATCAATTCATTACTGAAACATTTCTTATAAAGAAAATATTAATTATATTGTCATTAAAATATTTTGTACCTTTAAACAACTAATAATTTTGAAACTAGTAACTATAAGGTACTGCACATATTTATAATTAATAATAAATACAGGTTACGTCGGTTGAGGGATACAATATTTAAAATAATATCCAAATTACATAATGTTATAGGTATATATATATATATAAACATTATACAGCTGTACCTATCTTATGTCGTCGTAGGAGTGGTTATTTAATAATTATGGATCGATAATATTGGATTTAAAAAAAAAACGAAAAAAGACGTGTTTCTTTATTTTAACTGGATATTTTTGTAATTACAATTTCAACAATTTATTAAGCACGCTGTTGCAAAATCAACTTAATTTTTTTTAAATGGTAAAATCTATATTTTTAATTGATTCTTATAGAACTTTTTTTCTGAAAATGTTGATAGTCAGATTATCAATTTTGGTCCTCTAATTTATCAACTACGGTCCTCTAAAGTTTAGTAAATTCGTTAATACTTTTAATTGCTATTAGTTATTAGTATAAATTTAATTTATTAGAACTAAATAATTTTTTTATACACTTAAATCGGTGATCCAATGACTGTTTCCACAAAAAAGATGAATTCAACTTTGGGATGAATGCCAGCAATAGTTTGCAAATATAGTTTATTATTTTTTATTTCATTATTTGAACTTAGATCATTAAATAAGTATTATTGTTGTAATTATTATAATCATAATTACCTAATTCATTACTTTTAATTTTTTCTTTAAAATAATCTACTTTTCTTACAATATCATACATTTGGATTCTTTTTTGGGTGACTTAGATAATAATGGTATTCAATTATTATTGTAATAAATAATAATATTGGAAATCTGTAATTAACCAAAATTACATTTTTTATTTTTTTTTATTTAAATATTTTTATTTTTACTTCGAGTGTTACTGCTGGGTAACTACTTCCCTTGCGCTTTCAAAGTCAGTTGTAATCCACCTCATATGCTTATTGTAACTATTATTACAGATTGTATATATTCATATAAATGTTAAAAAATAATTTAAATATGTTATACCTAAGTATGATGAGTGGATTAGTAATATAGAAGGTAACTTTACTTGAGTACAACTATCATCAGAATAGTCAAAGATCTATAAAATGAAATCCCAATTTTCATTTGGTACATTATGGTTCAGAATTTGTATGTGATGCTTTTGGTATGAGCTGACGATAATGATAAAATATTTTATTATATTGATGACGTTCATCATTGTAATAGAAAATGTATTCAACTATGTTTGAACACACGTGCATATACGATACACGTGCGGTCTCCCTATGTAATCCTTTAATTCAGATGTATACAGTATACCCCTTGCACATTTATTATATATGTGACTTTATTAATTCCCGGCCAGCCTATAGGCTATATAGATGATGAGTTACCCTTCAGATGATGATTGACATTTATTAAGTCTTTGAAAAGCTTATAAATAAAACGTTTTAAAATAAATTCACGTTACACTCAATAATTTCAAAACAAGTTATTGAGTTCAATACAATTGTTATTCCTATTATAGATAATAGATCATAAGAAATCCAATAGGTAATAATAAAATATATAGCATTAACATATTGTAACGAATCAAGTGTATTTCAATATTATTCTGATGATATTGTCTAACTTTTACATTTTATTAATTGTAGTTCAGCCATGTTAACTCTGAATATGAATTATAACTGTTATCACAATGTTACTGATTAGTATTTATATTGTGTTCTTGGTAAACATGGAAATACGTAAACTCAATCCCACTTTTTAGCATCACTTGTTCATTAACGAATATTAATATTTAATATGAACTGACAGAATTTCTAATGGTAAATATGGGTGTTATCATAAATATATATTTCAGATATTTGTCTTTTTCGATTTAGTAGTAAACTGTATACCTATTACTATAGGTACCTACATGGCTACATATACTGTAGAAATGTTGATAAATATCCAAACATTATAATTATTATATGCCAATATACCACATTATCACATACCTATAAGTATTGCTAATTGCTATACTAATTCGATATTTTACTGTTTGAATTAGAAAAATAAATATAGGTAGGTACCTATATTTATGACATTGCATTGATAAATTGTGTTTATAAAAATGTTTGTGTAAGTTTATATTATTTAATATTAGAGATCCTGCATACATGCGTGCCAAATACTAATTAATTGTTATGACTTATGATATAAGTACCTAACATAATATAATATATTCTAATATTATTCAATGTAAATATGTAATTTACAAGTTTATATTTTATTTTAAACCAGAACGAATACCTATGTACCTAATAGGTTCGTAAATCGTAAATTCTAACTTTTATTAAAGACAATATAATATGTACCTACCTATTTAGTATTTACATATTATCATATTATTAAACATTATTGCAGGTTTGTAGTTTTGTACATTTATATTTTAATACATTTAACATTACTGGTTACCTGTTTGTTGAATGTGTATGTTGCTAGAAATGTTTGACTACATATTTATTAGGTACACTTCAATTACAGGTGTCAGGTATAATATTTTTTTTTATCTAATACATTTTGATATGTTCTAACTGTAAGTCATATAGGTAGTTAATTATTATTTATTACAATAGTAGTTTTACACTTTTACTAATATACTATTCATCATTCATGTATGATTAATTAATGTGCGAAATATATATTATTATAAATTACAACATGATTTATTATAATATAGTAAATATTTATGATTTTAAATAATCGTTCATTATTATTGTAATATTGTATACAATTTGTATTTTACATCTATAGACTAAGCACTAAGTTAACACACCTATTTACCTACATATTAATTTTATATTTTAAGACTAAAATAAATTTTACTAAAAAAAACAGACTTATAAACATTTAAACAGCAATTAACAAAAGTTCTGGTCCAAACACCCTTTCCACCACCATCAACAACTATTAAGGTTAAAGCTTAAATATAATATGTACCTAATTATTATTATTACCAACCTAAATAGGTATATATTATTTTTATTTCATTTTAATTATTTATTATATAAAACCTTTATTAAAATTATTTTAAATTATTAATTTTGGTCCTAGGCCCTAGCACATATTATTTTTATTTCCCTAATACTTACCCGTACTCGATATGATTTATGGACCACCCCCCTTCTTGATTAATCCCCAAGTAACTACCTCCTTGATTTGTATAATATCATTGTCAAAGTTCGGTATTCAGATACATATATATTATTAAACTTACAGTGCAGTTGCCTAATGTACCTTATAGCAATGGAAAATTGGCCAGTGACTGCAGAAAGCGATCATTTATAACATATAAGTATTATCTACGAGCAGTACAGTTACCATAGGCGCAAATAGGGGGGGGGGCTTTAGGGGCTAAGCCTCTCAAAAATGTCCATAGCCCCCCAAACTTTTCCTACAGTTTGTTTTAAGCTTACCTATTCAATATTATCAAAGTAAGGCTTTAGCCCCCAGGTCACAAACGTTATTTGCGCTTATGACAGTCACCTATACCTTTAAGTTAAATATTTTATCATTTATCAATATAGAATAGCTAACGCTCCAACAGGCTATATAGAATAGACCCCTACATAAATAAGACGTATAATAATAACGATACGTTATAATATGTGATAACAGTAGGTAGTAGGTACTAGCTGAGCTGTAGGTGTTATATTTCCGAGGCTGCCGTCTTAATTTTCGTGAATAAACATAAACGTATGAATGGCAATGGCCCGAACACTGTGCCCGCTATATTATAATAGAATAATACTTATATAGGTACCCACTACCTGAGTATTAACAAATTGCCTTATTTTCTATATTCTACTCTTAACACACTGACACACACTTCTATACAATATATGTATATTGTATGGGTTGTGTTATGTACCTATTTATATACATACAGACATAGTGTTCACATAGCGTTTTGATTATGCGCTTACCTTTTGTTCGGCGCGTCATCCGCAGTGCAGACGTCGGCGGCGTAGGTGGCGCGACGATGTAAACAAACGTAAGCCGGTATCAAATAGTGGGCATCATAACATGTTAGCTTGGATAGAGAGCAAACGTAGGTACGCTATACGATTGTAAAATGTACCGCGGTATATAGCGGAGCACGACTCGAAGCGGCCGATGCACACGCGGGGTGCAAAGGGATTTCGTGCGTGACTTCGAGCGTGCGGGGCGTGTCCGATCCGAATGAAGGGGAGGAGCCATATTATTTTGGAACTCGGCCGCTGGAAAGGAAGACTGCAGATACGGAAAACACGTCTGCTTTTGGCACTCCACCTCCTCAATCCTCATCCTCCGTCTCCTTCGCGGCTGCACCTCACCCCCCCCCCACGTCGCCAACCCTACCCCACCCACTGACGGACCGTCGTGACAAGTGACCCTTAAGGCTCGAACACGAGGGAAAGAAAATATCCAAGTA